TTGCTCTTAGCTTGATTCCATTCCACGAGAGCCCCGCCCCTTGTGAACTAAGGTCATTTTAGCTGACACTTGTCTCCCAATCTTTCCCATGGAAGCACTAGCACATGTGGGGAGCCCTTCCTGGAGCCCAGCTGTTTTAAGGTCTTGCAGGCAGCAGAACGTGTATGATTTGCACTGGTGTGAAAGTGTTTCCCACTGTCTACCAGAGTGGGCTCCAAGAGCTGTGGTACTCTGGTGTGGCCTTTGAGTGTGTCCATCCCACTGTCCACCAGAGTGGGCTCCAAGAGCTGTGGTACTCTGGTGTGGCCTCTGAGTGTGTCCACAGGACTCAGCTCCACCGAAGATGGCTCAGTTTTCTGTCCCCTTTGAAGTCTCACTTCCTCCATATCTGTCATCTTGAGTTTTCCTGGACAGATAGAATATGACAACTGCAGTCAAGTCCTCTGTCCTCCTCCATAAGTGCCACTCTGACCCACAAGGCACTGGGCAGTAGTGGCTCTGGTTGGGACTGTACACCGGTGAGGGCAGTGCCATGCTGTGGTGCACTGGGTGGAGAGTCCGAGAGCAAGCAGGGTGTTTTCACACCCCATTCAGGGTGACTTCTTAGAAGACAGAGCCTTTTCCCAGTCACTCCCTTCAGAGGTACACAGTACAGGGTAAGGCTGGGAGAGCATGGAGCAGCCCAGCCCAGCCTGTATTTGCATGGATGGACATGTTTATCAGAAGTTGCCGAACACTGAGAGGAGATATGGCTCATGGGAAGCAAGCCGTGTTAAGCTGTGTGAAGCTCCCTTGCTCTCTTGCTTCATTTTACTTGAGAGTCCACAGGTACAGAAAAAAAAAAAAGATTAAATGGCTTGTCCAGTTCTCCAGAGATTGGGGCCCAGAAGCACCTTCACCTTCCAGGCAAGGACCCCACAGGATGAGGAGTGAAAGTTCCATATGCCCTGATTCCCTTGAGTGAGCTCCTGGGCTTCAGCAACCCAGTCCGGACACACCCATCTATGGCCCTTAAGGAAGACTCCATTGATGTGGCCACACTGGCGATTTTGTGTGCGTGTGAAATGCCACTCTGTGATGAGTTTGCTTCTCAGGCTCTGGGTACACAGAACAATAAGCACCATTCAGGGGATCTCCATCACATGTCCAGCGAGGCCTGCCACGGTTTCCTGAGCACTAGGTGCCTGTGCAGTCCAGCAGCCCAGATGCTGCCCTTGTTGGGGTTTTTCCATTCAGCTGTAGAATCAGAAAAACAGGTATCTGGGATTGCTGAAAGTGAAGTAGGCCCAGCACAGTATCCCTAAGACTTCAGTGAGTTGAGACCTCAACACAGAATAAGCAAGACTCAGGGACCTCAAGGTGGGGGTGCAAAACTGGTCCAGTTATGGCTGTGCCCTGGGAGTTATCAGGGGCACAGCAGCAGGGTCTCTAAGATGCATGGGTCCAGAGGTTGGGGGCAGGGCAGGCAGCTTGACTCCCCACCCAGAAGCAGCCATTATTAGCCCAGGACCCTAGGGACACCTCCTCAGTGTGCCAGAGCTGTGACTCTGGCCTCCTCTGTGGGTGGCCCTTTCTGGCAGAATGCCTTTGGAAAGAGGCATGGTTTCAGCTATAGCCGATGCCACCAACTGGACAGACCTGCTTCTCAAGTCTGCCTGCCCAGGAAGTCGGTGAGATTTGGGTTTCTTCAATTATCTAAGTTAGAATAAAATCCTCCCCAAATGGCCTGGGGTCCTGGCTGCCTGAGTTAAGCAAACAGCTGAGACCCTGGGTCTGGAGAAAGTCACAGAAAAGGAGGAACAGGGAACCACAGTGTGACAAAACCTATATCCCAGCTGTCACACTGCGCAGCTCCTGCTTCTGAGTCACACAACACCACCATTCAAGGACCCAAGGCTGTGCTCCCAGCCCTCCCAATGTGCAGACCCACAGACTCATCAGTCATGCAAGTCATGGGGTCGGTACTGATTCAAAAAAGGACTTAGGGACTCCCCATGCCTCAGGCTGCAGCATGGAGTGGCCATCTTTGATCGGCTCTAGAGAGTTCTCAACAGAGCAAACCAAGCCTTCACACCTTAGGGGTCTACACCGTCTGTGGCCCTGCCTAAGGAGCTACTGTAATTCCCGTTGATGTTGATGAGTGTTACTAGGATTCCCAGAGACACCACTGAGCTGAGACTCTGTCCTCCCTTGCTCCTCTGTGTTACTCTGTAAGCTGCCCCAGGAACAGTACTATTACCTACCTGGTTCTTATCAACTGGCCCTTTCTAACTGATTAGAGCAGCCTAAAGGGACCAGGTGACCATCTTAGCCTTTGGGGCAACAGACCCTTGGATGTCTTCCCTTGGGGCTTCTACCTCTAGAGTCTAAATTCTCTCAAATGAAACCCAAAGTATTGGAGACAGGAAAAAGCACTGAATAGGTAGGGAGCTTGAAGGACCACCTCTGGCTTCACCTGGTCTCTGGGCCACCTTCTGAACAGAGAGGTAGATGAGTACTGTGACCTGTGTACGATCTTGACCGAATCATGCAGCTGCGTCCAACCTTCCCTGTTTTTAGTAGGCATGTCTACTTACCCAGCTGTGCCAGGAATGGGGAGGCAGGAAGAATAGCAGGATGTGGAACAAGCCCTTTGATTAATGACAGTGACGTATGTGATCTCCGAGTGTGGTGTGCACAGCAGCAGGCGTGCTGGAGGGTCTGAAACCAGTCAATCTCAGCGAGACTTAAGAGTGGCCCCTTGTCTGCAATTGATGGCTACAGCTGAGCTTGGCTGCCACCTGCTGGCTAACTGTGCACATGACAACATGCAGTCAGGGCAGCCAAGAAAGGGAGGCTCTTCTCTTGAATGCTGTGTAATATCAAATAGGATAAGTGGTACTTTGTTTACAGGCAGGTGCTGCCACGGCTAGGAGGAGAGGCCACCTGGCTCCTGTGCTGTCAGGCACCTGCCCAGCCCTGGCACCCTCTCAAAAGCATTTAGAAAGGATTCATGCCCCAGATGGGTCCTTCACCGACCATGTCCCCCTTCCACCTCCCTGACACTTGACCTCATGGTTAACCACAGGCCAAGATCAATGGGAAAGGTTCCTTCAGGCCACAGTTCCTCCCAGGCAACGCAAGAAGCATCTGTACACATTCTCCTCTCAGTACCACAAGGATGAGAAGATGTCCCTTTCTACTGCCCTTGCCCCGAGGTGCCTCACGGCTCGGTGTCACTTTTCCTGCCACCCTGTCAGTCACATGTGATTTTTCTCCAACAGAAATCAGTGTAGTCAAAAGGAAGGACAAAGCAGCAAGGGCTGAGCTGCCTGCCTGTCTGTCCACCCCACACTCTGGCTTGGATCTCACCCACATCAGCACACCTGGTGACAAAGAGACACATACACAATCCACTAAGGCCTGAGGCCAGCAATAGACTCCCAGTTCCTGGGGAGGGGGAGCTCAGGGCTCATGGCTATCCAAGCAACTACAGACTTCAATCTATCTCCATAATAGCCCAGTAGCCTGCAACTAGCTGTGTGCAGAGGAAAAGAGACTATTGCCAAAGAAACATGTTTTCTGGAAACTTGAGTGCATGTGGTTCGCTTGTCGGGACCTGCATGGACCCGGAGGGTGTCACAGCTTGCCTTAGACACATTTTCTATGGTTGCTACATACACTGGTTTAGTAGATACAAGGCCTGGGCTGCCTGCTGGCCCTGCTGCACAGCTTTTGTGTGTGTTCAGTAAATAGCTCAGAGCAGCATACATGACCAGGTACACAACAAGTGTCACCAAATCCTGCAGTTTCTTCACCTGGGAGAGCGTACAACACACCCCCGCTTCTGCTTTGGAGGAGGCAATTTGATTCGCCTACCTCTGTATGTAACAGAAGCTCTGAGCAACAGTGGCTCCATTCGAGTTAGGAAGTGACTGCAGACGTTTGGAAACTCTGCTCTTTGTCCCCTTCCTTCTCAGTTACAAAGTGGTTACTTCAGCTCTAGCCATTCTGGCGTCGTTCCTGGCAAAAGAAAGGAAAAGACACATGGGAGGAGAAAGTTTGGCCAATTGTGTCAGTAAAGCAAGACAAGCACAGAAAGTTCTAGAAGGCTGTTTACATTTCACTAGCTAGAACTAAGCCACGCTGACTGTGAGGAACATGGGAGAATGGCACTGTTGTTTTTCTGTTTTGCTTCGGGACAGGCTCTCATACATTCCAGGTTGGCCTCGAGCTTGCAACGTAGCTGGGGCTGACTTTGACCTTCTGATCCTTTTTGTTATTTTGAGACAGGGTTTCTCTGTATAGTCCTGGCTGTCCTGGAACTCACTCTGTAGACCAGGCTGGCCTCGAACTTAGAAATCCGCCTCCCTCTGCCTCCCAAGTGCTGGGATTAAAGGTGTGCGCCACCACCACCTGGCTCTTCTGATCCTTTTGCCTCCAATCTCTGTGTAATAGGATTAAGGTGTTAGCCATGACTTTTTGCTGGGGGTTGAACCAAGGGCTAACATGCAAGGGCTTCATGCATGTCAGGTGAGTGTTCTACTGAGTGTGCTACATCCCTAGCCTAGACTAGCAGCTTCTGGGACATATTCCTCCCTCTGACAAATCCTGACGTCTACAAGTAAAAGCAGAGAGAGGACTGGTTGCCTTGTTGGTGCCCAGAGGTCCTGAGCAAGCTGACAATTACCAAGTGTCCAGTAAAGGGAGTGGGGAGTCAGCAGTTCCTGCTCCAGCCATGCTCTTGGTTGTCCCCTCTCCTCATGAGAGAAACCACTTCCTCTCTCTGTTTGCTACTTCTCAGACACTCAGGTAGGACAGGATTCTGGGTAATAAGTAGAAGCCAGGAGTCAAGAGGAGGCCAAAGGCTGGGACGGTGAGAACAGGCTGTGGAAAGTCCCTGGCCCTGTGAGGTTCACACCCTGAGTGGCAAGTCACACAGGGCGCCACCTCCTCCTGAGGTGCAGAGCAATGCCCACCCCCTCTCAGGCTTTTTGCAGCTGCTGACACTTATTTGGGGAACAGTGAGCTTCTGGGTCCGGGAGGTTGAGGAGATAAATGCAGGTACCAGACAGGCTCAGGGAGACATAGCAGATCCTAGGCTGAGGGGCTGTTAGTCTTTGATGCTTTCCTAAGACCAGGAGATAGTGAAACAGGCCAAGAGATAGGCTAAGACCAAGAGAGAGACTGAGAGAGATTTGGAAGAGAAGCAGGCTAGAAGCAGACTTGCTAGAGAGGGCAAATCCTGCCTGAAGAAGGGTGCTGAGCCTAGGGTTTGGAAAGGCCGCCAGAGAACCAGGACCCGGGCAGCACCATGTCAGGGTGTGGCGAGGGCTGCTACCCGAGACTGCAGGAGTGTCAGCATGGCTGTAAGAAGCACCTGGGGGACATCATCAGCTTCTTCTTCCGCTTCATCTCCGGGAACCTGGCTCGAGGTGAGGGCTGCCTTGCTGGGACAGGGATACCAGGTGCCAAAAGATGCCATTTTGGGGCTGGGGACTATGGCTCCTCCTTTTGGGATGGGACATGGATAAAGGGGCTTGGAAGCAGGATAAGTCTCTGTGCTTTATACATTCCCACAGAGACCCCTGGCCCTCAAAAGGCCAAGCCAAAGGCTCCCAGACTCATAAGCCTGGAAAGAGATGGGTGGCCAGGATCCTTATCTTCATAATGGACATGAGCCAGCCTAACTGCTCTAGAGAGCCCTCCCTGCCTGGCACTTGTGGGCTCCCCTATCCTCACTGCTCCCCAGCTCCCTTTCTCCCCAAGGACTCTTCCATCAAAGCCAGTATGGATCTATTATGCCATGCAGAGGAGAGAGAGGAAAGAAGGGGGCCAGTGTGTATTGAGACTGTATAAAGGAGATCTATCAATGACAGCCTTCTTCATGTCTTCAGAAGCCTGCTCACCAGGAAGACCAGACAAGAAGCCTAGATCCGGCCTGGAGGTGGGAGGAGGGAATCTTCACAGTAGGCTATTTCTATGTGCTTCTCTGCCTCTCATCCAAGCTTGGCAGGGCTGGCTGGCTGGCAGGGGCACTTCCTACCCAGAAGGAGAGGGAATCTTACAGATGGGGATCTGAGAACTGGGCTGTTAAAAGCATCAGACCTTGAAGCTCAGGACCCCCTGGGCTCTTTTTCCTATCCTCTTATTGGAGGAAAAGGACATAGGCTAAAGTAGTCACATGACTCCCCAAAGAGACTTATAATTAAATCCATAAAACAAAGAAGAGCCCTCATAGGCATGTGACACACAAAGCAGCCTTCTGCTTCAGGGAGCTGTCAATGGCCCAGAGGGGTGATATGCTAAGCAGTGAGCAAGCCAGACAAGGTGTCAACCTCACTCTTTGGGGTGGAGCCTAGTATAGGGCATCCACATGAGAGCCAGGCACACCTAAGAGCCACCAGGCTAGCAAATACCACGTTGGTGGTGGTGGTGGTGGTGGTGGTGTGCGCGCGCGCATGTTTGTGGCTTGGGCATAATGACCAGAGGGCAACTCTTTGGAGTCTGTTCCCTCAGTCCACCTCCACATGGATGATACACAGGAACAAAACTCAGGAAGTCAGACTCATTTGGCAAGTGCCTTTACTGGCGGAGACACCCCACCAACCCACAAAGAGCATTTATAAGAAGAGAAGCATGAAATTGCAATACATTTGCCCATTTCTAAATCTATGGGAAAATAACGGCTTAAACACCAGAGTGATGAGAACATGGCAAGAGGGGAGAGAACCTGGAAGATGGATCCTAGCTCTCTTTCGCCGGGTGCACAAGGACTCTGTAGAGCGTGCTCTCTGGCTCCAGAGTGGTGGCAGATATCCAGACCATATCCATGAGCAACCAGGGAAGCCACAGTCGTTGCCTTGACCTTGTGCCAGGCGTGGGTCAGACCCCTCACCCTGGTCCTACATCCCCAAGTTCCCCTCGGGTCACTGAAGGGCTTAGATGGGGAGGAAAGACCTCAGTCTTTTCCAAGATACTCTTCTAGACTGTAAGGAAGTCACAGAGCAAGGCTACCTCCCAAGTCCCTTAGTATGACCTACAGAGCCATAGCTTTGTGTTGTCCTTGGGACTTCTGCGGAAGCTCATGGGGAAAGATACAAAGAACCCAGAGAGTGAGAGATGAGCCTTGTGCATGGGTCCTCATCTCAGAGCCCCTCAAGACAAGGTAGACAGAGGCCAGGGAGGGCTTCAGCTAAGGCAGCAGAGAGCCTCTCTACACCTGTCACAGAGCCCATCTGACCTGAATTGTCCAGGTACCATTCTGATGCCCTAAAAATATCCTCCTACAGCTAGATGCAAGTGCATACCCAGGTTCCACTGAACTCCTAATTGAAGATGCTAGCCAAATGACAAAGCTGATTCCAATCAGAAGGAAACCCAGAGAGAGCTTGGAACACACAGGGCACAAGCAAGATGGCTTAGTTATACACAAATGATGGGAAACAGACCAGGGGGCACGAGCAACCCACAAGGGCATCTTCTCTACCAGAGAAAAGAGGAAGCCTCTTAGATATGTGCATCTGGGTACCAGTCATAACAACACCCAGTTCTCGCTGGCAAGTCAGGTGATTCTGAAGACAGGCTGCTGCCTTCATTTGCACAGTTTGTAAACAGAGTCCCATCTGCCAGGCTAGGCTCCAGCCTCTCACCACATCCATTTCTTCATCTGTAAGATGAAATGGATATAAAAATGAGATCGAGATGATCATGTCGAGTGTGTCGAGTGAAAGGAGCCACTCTGCTTTCTGCTTTTATCTTGTTGAGCAGGCTCCTGGATTGGCTCTGTTCTGTATGGTGCCAGACATTGAGCAAGTCCCTCAGTTTATTTATGCATCAAATGGACACAACCGCATGTTCTTTGGGACCCCACAGCAGCGGCTGGGCAAGCAATAATGGGACATGACTTTAACACTGAGCCGAGGTTTCTTCCGTGTGTCGATTAAGTTAGTGTCCTCGTTTGTGACCGAGGACAGAGAAGATGAGTTTTCAAAGTCAACCAACTGCGCTTTCTCCCCAATCTGTTTGACCAGGCACGAGGCCTGGGGGTGGGGGTGGGGTGGGGGTTGTGTGTGTTATAGCTTCTAGACTCCCACAGGGAAGGCTGACTTCTCACCTCTCACCCCTCACCTCTCACCTCCTACCTTTCACCTCTTACCTCTTGGTAGCCCTGTCCCTAGCTGCTGTTGTCTGAATTCTGGAAGGTCCCATGCTCCACCATTGTGTTGTGCACCTGACAAACCTTTCCCAGGTTTTTTCTAGTGAGGTGGACCCCATTAAAGCCTGCCACAAGCAGTGTAACCACATTTCTTCTGAGGTGAGTTTTCTGGGATGATAAGGCTGCAATGGTCCAGGTTCCTTTCTGCTCTAATCTCTGCCCATTCTGGCTCCTTCCTCTATAAGTCCAGATAAAGGGGAGAGGGGGAAGGGCACACTGGAGCATGGACTGATGGGGTGGGCTGGAGCACGGACTGATGGGGTGGGCTGGAGCACGGACTGATGGGGTGGGCTGGAGCACGGACTGATGGGGTGGGCTGGAGCACTGACTGATGGG